TTTTTTTTTCGTTTTTTTTCGATCACTATTTTTTAAAAAAAGGAGAATATTAATCCAAGATAAATACTGAATAAGACAAACATTTGCAACCTTAATTGCCGAATCAACGATTATTAACTTAAACGAATCATATAATATGAATTAAAATTTATTTCAAATGATATCAAAACATGTTTTCAAAGCTTAATAGATAAAAAGATATCGAACAAAAAAAAACTTCTAAAGCAAGAAAATAATGTCATATGAAATAAATAGATCCTTAAAGTGAAAAATCTGAAAGATTGCCAGGTTTTTCTATTTGCGTTATTCATTAAATCGAAATAATAAAATAATAATTCAATATAACGTTGATTACTTGTAAAATATCAAAATAATTAAGGGCGGCCGCTTTAATCTCAACCAAAACTTGATTTTCTTTCAACTCAGGCTCGGGTGCATTTAGGTCCACTTCGAGCTCATCGATAGTTTTTAGTAATTTGCTTATTACGACGGCTTTCATTTTGTTGCTTTTTCTTGTAGACAATCAAAATTTGACGATCGTGAGATGATTTATCGTTATCATTAATAATAATCATATACGTATGTATGTAATTGCACAACTTAATGCGTTAAAATCAAGAGTGGATACGCAGAAAAATGTTTTTTTCCATCTTTGTTTCTTGATCATTTGTATCATCAATATGTACCGTATATTCCCGAAAATAAGATACCGTTTTTGGAAGAAAAATTACACGAAAAATATTTGGGTAGCTTATTTTAGGGTACAAGTGGATTTTGCCAAATTGCAAGAAATTTTATTATGTAAATCGATCATGTGTATTAAGTAAAGTTTGTTCCGAAGATTAAAATCCTAAAAATTTCGTAACTTTTTATTAATTATCTTTTAATTCTTACGTTTAACTAATATAAATTTCAAGAAATTTTAATTTTTTTATTGAACGTAATATGCAAAAACGTATTAATAAAAAAGTTATCCAATTTGGATTAAACTTCAAAATATATGTATTTTGATCTTTTGAACAACATTCACTTTAATAAGGTAAATCGATTTACTTAGTAAAATTTTGACTTTACTATAGAGTAACTACTGACGATTGTATAAATAGCTTATTTTCGGGTATACTTGTATTACGTAAGTACGTATGTCGCGCAACTTCAT